TTTTTAAATTATTAAAATTAATAATGTTTTAAAATTATTTAAAAAGTGCGGTGCCTTAAATGTTATCAAACAATCAAAATAGCGTAGTATTTAAAAACAAAAGGCAAAATCATTCACTGTATTACAGTACATCATTAAACTATCTATGGTTATGGTCAAAAACCTTCCAAAGTCATCGAAAATGGACACATTTGTACCTACGTTAGAATAGTTTGGCCGTTTGAAGTAAAAACACAAGATCTCAAAAAAGTCAATGTTAAGGTTAAATATTATTTATTATAATTTGTTATACATGGTCTGAAAAATACGGAATAAAATTCATTTTTGACGAGACATTTATAAAAAAAATTTCCTTAAACAAGTCGATTTAGTTTTTATCTTTGTTTTCTATATAAGTATATTTTTATTTTCACATACTACCGGCGCAGATGTGATCATTTTTTAATAGGGGCATGCCCCTTTTGTTGTCATAAATAAAAAGTTTGCGTTTTTCTGTGTTTACTAGTACCCATAAGTGGGGTCTCATAGAACAAAAGGGGCATGTCTTATTTAAAAAAATATGAGACAATATGTTGTATTTAACAATTAATACTTAAAAAACACAATCTTTCTGTCCAAGATTTTTTTTATAATGACCGGCTTAAGAACTATAAAAATTTTTTCGTACTTTTGACTAGCTCTGTCCATTTCGCAATCAAAGAAAATCGAATGTAGTATTTACGTATTAATTTTCGTTTTTATTAAGTTGAAAAAATTTCTGACTAACACAACATTTCACTTTGAGTTATCTTATAACATATATAATGTATAAAATTGTAACAAACTTTAAGACAGCAATGATTCGTAGGAAACAAGCGTTCCAAATGAAAGAAACGATGATAATAAGGATACATACTTCTGGTTTGGACCCAGGCTTGGAAGAAAGAAAAGGAATTCAAGTAATGATAATTTGTACCAAGACACACAGAAGGACGAAATAGTTTCCCTTACAGATGCTTTACAGGATGTACCATGGGCTATAATTGCTGTAAATGGTAAATAATCGAAAAATAAAATGAAAATGAAATAAACCATGATTTGAAATAAGATCTTTTAGAAGGAAAACGACATGTAGTGAATTTCACTCCACGGTTAGGTAGAGAATCTGGTGAAGAATTTGTTAACAATGCTCCTGAGGATCGATGGCTGCAAAATCACGAAACATCGGGAGAAATGTTATATCAAAGATCACCTCCGTTCGCGCCCAGGTTGGGAAGACACTCATCACCATTTTCCCCACGATTAGGAAGGGAAAATGACAGGAATCTCTTTTCATAAGTTTCTGCAAATAATGAAATGCTTAAATTACTTACACTTTGTGTTGGTAAAATAAAATAATACAAGTTCATTTCGAGTTTCAACTTTGAATTACCTTAACCTAAGAAACGAGAAATAATAAATACGCATAGTTACTTAAAAAAAACAATTTTATTTTAATAATATAATTTAAATCACAATGAAATTTCAATACAGGGACAATAATAGAAATAAGATCATAGTAAATATCTATGGTTATAATACAAAAATGATGCATTAAGAAGTATATTTGTAAAAATGTATAAACTGAGGTCAGATCATATCGCGAACACATTCAGTGTCAAGATCTTGAATGAGACACCGCATAAAGGCCATTTCTTTGCGAGCATTATCAAACATAGTACGCGGATCACTCGCCATACAACGTAAGCAGTTGGGCGCAAAGACCATAGCCAAATTGGAAGCATCCATTTTAGTATGCTGGATAACATCAGGTTTATTAAAAATTTGCAAAAATCGAATCAAATAGCATAAAACAAGTCTGTGCAAAGTTGGTAAACGAAGAACTAAATCACATGCACGTCGTGAGGTCATGGGTTCAGCAACACATTCAGGATAAAGAGAGTCGGGTATTAAAGGTTCATACAATTCGCGTAACCACAATTTTAGCAAATTGGCAGGGACATGAGCATCACTTGGTTCGCTAAGTTCCCATTTGTCCATTTGGGCTTTTAATCTATTTACTTCATCGACATCTGCAGATACTCGGAATATGCCTTCCGTACTTAACCCTTGTAATCGTAAGACTTGCTGAGATAGTTCTACTTGAGGCCAAGGAAGGCGGCGAGTGGGCCATCGACTGGCCTGAAGCTGCATCACTTCGCGTAAAGTATTACCAAAAAGACTAGCTTGAAAAATTTGTTTGCGGGCAGAATCTATATCATCCATTTGGGGCCTACGGGCAGACCTTTTTCCACCAGCGCCAATTCGCTCCAACCGCTGGCAAGCCACAGTTGCGTAATGATTCACCTATAAAAATACAAAATTATTTAATACAAAATTAACTGCAAGTAACAAAATATACCTGAACGTGTATTGGCCATCTACTAACGTCGGGAAAAACTCTTGAAAACCCCGGATCTCTATGTCGATTGAGGTACCCTAAGAGAGCTGGTTGGAATAAGGGACTGGGAGGAACAAAAGCTAATGCAATGGTGAGTAATTCCCATCCACGCAGAAGAGAGTCTCGCCTTGGGTTCTCAGTTGTCTGCCGACATAACTGAACGAATAGTTCATCTCTTAAAAGGGATTGCGTATGTGCTGTCCCCAGGATATCCATAAGTAATGAATTCATAGAAACTCCAGGTCTAGCTTTGCGGTCGCCCATATACATTTGTACTTGCCTAAACATATCTAAAGCTTGCCTTGCAACTGGTTTACTTGAGGCTAACAAAGGCCTCTGCAAACTCCTAGCTGACCAACTTAACAAATCACGAACACTTGCTTTCCTCCTAAATAACCCCCTGCCTCCTAGATTCAAATTATCAGCTGCAAACTTCTCCATATCTGCTTCACGTTCGGGTTGAAAAGGAGGTTCAGCGAGGGGTTTAAGCATGATGGGGGCTGGTGGATGATCCTTCTGTTCCCGCGTTTCAGTAACGGCGGTTGGTAAATTTAGGTACTCAACAGGTCTAAGGGGGAAACGGTGAGGTAAATAGCTACCTTCTGACTGATCCGAATCCTCATTATCAGGCTCATGACCAGTTAAAGATTCACTTCCGCTATCAGAGTGATCACTATCTGAATCGCGACTGTTATTTAAAAGAAAGTGTTCCAAAGGCAATAAATGCGAATCATGCCAGTTGGAGTATAGAGGCGCTTCTGCACCTCTCTGACTAAAACTGCTACTTCTACACAAATCACTTGATTTCCGCCGCAATTGTGGTGTACTCGCTGATAAACTTAGCACTTGACCACGACCTGTGGACTCCCCGGTTTGAGTGGCTTGATTAGTGGTGGCTGCGTGAGCACCCCCAGGACTACAGTCGGTATTGTGTTTTAAAGTTTGTAATTTTGCTAGGGGTATTATGTCACAATTTGTAGGTTTGTGCCAAACCGTCCGCTGTGAAGTGGCATTATAGTAGTAAAACCGAGCCGTGTTTTGATCGAATAATTCCCACCACTGGTTCGAATCGGTCCTTTTAACGGGAACACCTTCAGGAGGGTCCCATACACATTCCCCTGTTGCTAAATTTGCATACATATGCTCGCCAGTTTTTGGTTCTATTATTTCTACCCATTCTACCCTAAAATTAAAAGCACTGACATTTCAAACAATAATTAGTACACTTTCTAATAAATACCTATAAGTATTAGAAGCCATTTTCTAACAAAACACTACTACTATTATGATATGTCAAACGTCATTTTCTTATAGGTTAACAATCCCACGAAGTAGACTGGTAGGTCTTATACGCGTTTATTTTTCAAAAAACTGATACAATGATGACAAGCATAGAAATTCACGGCTTGTAAGTGTGCCAGTACCAGAACCAGAAAGAAAAAAGGCCACTGTCAGTATTATAAATTGCGGACGCCATTATTGTTTGTATATTGTAAAATGTATGCCTTGTGCTTGCTCGTGTGAATCGAACGGAGAAAAAATCGAAGATGAAGGATAGACGATAGGGGCATGAGCACTAGAGCTATAAGTTGACCCTGTAGGGTGTGGAAACCCTAAACTAGACAACCAGCTATACCAGACCTACCTACTATTTCACCATAGAAATTGTAAAGGTTTTTCAATTAAAACTTCGTTCCAAAAAAATATTTTATACTTGCAGCAGACACAATATTATGTATACATTTCCTATAAAATTAATATGACACCATAGTTTTTGTTTTCATCTATACAAAGTAAGATATGTACTCATGAGGCATGACACCTCGTCTTGGGTAAAAAGTGTGCTTAACTGAATAATTCAATAAATTAGTTATATTTGAGGTGTATATATCGGCAAATCTAAATAATCGTCTAGAAAAATACGTAGGATTGTGATATGTTCGGAAGACGCTTCCAAACTGGGGATTGAACACATACTTAATATCATTTCTTAATTTATCACGTTCGGCCATCCATTTTTGTAGAATTTTTTGTTCTTCTGGATCTTCACAATCTTGATGGTCTTCAATTAGTTGAGTCAACATTTGTAACCAGTTGGCATTTTTTTTAAACTCCACGTTATTTAACGTGGCAATTTCATGCTAAAATTTTTTATTATAAATAGTGTCTCAGATAAAAATAATTTAATACTGTTAACTCATTGATTATGGCTCCAGTCCTCCACCCATGCTCTAACGTTACATCAGCGAGGTCACTGTATGGGTGATCCCCAAAATACAAGACTTGATGACCACGCCAGCCAGTTAAGTCTTGTAACTGTTTTACAGTTCCCTGCAAATTATTCGTTAAGTGATTTCAGATTATCTCCATTAAATGCATGTTGATTCCATGATTTCCAGCTCTTAAATGAATAAAACCTGAAACAGACAAACATTTCATACCATCATGGAACCAACAGCCAGAGACATGGTGCCTTAAATTAATAGAAATGAATGATTACTTCATAATAAATAACTCCTTTTTCCAATTTAGTCACACGATCCCAAATGTGACTGCCGCTTTGTTCATCAAATACTCGAATCGGTCGTGAAATATCGGTGAAAAACCGTGGTTTTCTTGCTTGAACGATAAGAACATCAAAGTAGTCTTTCCAGTCACGTCCAACTAACATTTCCATACCTTTGTTTCTATAAAATAAATTATAGCAAATTGTCTTTCTTACAAACTACAGCTTACACGAAATTATAAGGACTATTAGTGACTAGAAATAAATTCTTATTTGCGCTTTTTAAACGATCAAAAAATGGCCTAAGTTTTTCATTTGATTCTATATATTCAGATACGTTTTCAGAGACTATTTTGTGCATAACAGGATGAGAGCTTTTTACGGAACTCTAAAAACATACAATGTAATTTATGGTTTCCACAAGTTACGTAACTTACTTTAACGTCCCTAAATAAAATTTCTGGGTGGTAATCAATGTGATTTCGCTCAAAATAGTCTGCCACATTGCAGATCAAACCCATTTCTGGTACAGAAAATAAGTCAGCTAATTGTACCATCTTAGAGTGACTGTCCTGTAATACCAACTATAAAAATAGATAGCAAATACATATAGTTTACTGAAGCATAGCTAAATACAAAACTCAGTGGCAAAATTAATGCCATAAGTGTCATGACATTATTGTTGCCAATGATGGGATTATAAGTACCGAAGAATTTTTTGTATTCCCTTCAACATAAGCTATGGGGATAATCCTGTTTTTGTAAATTTTCAAAACCTCTTCGACAGATAATGGCGTTAATCCTTTATAAACAGAACCGAATTGTATTTGTAAAAAAGAATCCAATTTAAGTAAAATTCCTTTTTCTATGTCATAATGTAGTCCTCTAACAGCAAAACCTGGTTTATATTCCAACTGTGCTATTTCTTCTGGATACTAAAACTTTTTTTTTAATTCCATATACTTAACTTAAAATCGAAAAACTTACTTTGTACTGTTCTATAAGCGTCTGTCTACCTAAATTATATAAAACATAGTCCATTGAAGGCTTGTAACAAGCAAGTGTATAATCATAATCAAACCCATAAACGTTAACTTCCTTTAAATCTAGCTCATTACACGCAAAAACGGCTTTGGGGTTGACGTCTTTCGGCAACTTTTTTGCTAAAAAAAAGTTAAGTCTCAGGTGTTACGTTTCAAGTCCGAGGTTATTACATTGACATTTTGCCTTCATTTTCTTATATGCGTCTTCTAGATGTTGAGTTGAATGAAATCTTGAATTTTTTTTTGAAACGACCCATTTTTGCTGCGTTAAATAATGGCCTGTTAAGCGCAAACTTGGATAAGAGTTAATAAGCTTGCATAATAACATTACGAATTTACGATTGACTTTTTTTTATTTTTAACAATCATCTAAGCGCTGCTATTGGCTAAAATCACTCTAACACACATGCGCATGCCCACACAAACACATGAAACACACGTGACTTGAAAAGTAGGCAACCCATATTTCAAAAGTCCTGCCAAGGTTAATGATCTATCGCACGCGTTACTATAGAAACACATCAACAACACAGAACCAGAAAGCAAGAAATTTGCTAAAATGTTTATATATCTCAGCAAAAAGGTAAGTTTTGATTACCCACATTACAAATTTTTGTTTTTAATAATGTTCATTAGATTGCTATCCCCAACAATACAAGAATCAATGCAATTGCTTGGAATAAAGAAGATGGTTACATTGCAGTTGGTGGTGATGATGGACTACTCAAAGTCTTGAAACTGGATGCAGGTGCTGGGTTATTGGCAAAGAACCGTCTTCTAAAGTTTCTTACAGGTGGTGAAACTGAGGGAGGGATTAAGTCTAGAGGGTTAGTTGCATCTAGCAATTTATCAATGAACCAAACGTTGGAAGGGCATACTGAAAGTATCCAAGTACTAGTATGGAACGAAACGCATAAAAAATTGACCACAAGTGATCAAAATGGTGTTATTATAGTATGGATGTTGTACAAAGTAAGATCTGATTGTTTCAATATTGTTTTTTTTTTCATTCACAAAATTTAGGGTGCCTGGTATGAAGAAATGATAAATAACCGAAAAAAATCAACGGTTGTTGGAATGGCGTGGAGTGCAGATGGTTTAAAAATTTGTATAATTTATGAAGATGGTGCGGTTATCGTTGGCTCTGTTGATGGCAATAGAATTTGGGGAAAAGAATTAAAAAACATTCATTTGTCAGGGGTACAGTGGTCCCCTGATGGCAAATTACTTTTGTTCAGTCTTAAAAACGGTCAGGTCCATCTGTACGACAACCAAGGAAATTTTATTGTAATAATTTTGACAAACATTAATTAGATGTTTCAGAATTATTTAGCGCAAGTGCTAAATAATTTCTGGAACATCCCGAACATATATCATGATTGAAACTTTTCAGATGCAAATTGAGATTTTTTGTAATGAAGTAACCCTAGAATTAATACCGGTGGTCGGACTCGACTGGTACAACGGCCAAAATGGATACATGCACGCACTTTGCCCAAATCTGGCGATTTGTTATGAAAATGGACGAACTCAAATTATGCGCAATGAGAGCGATACAAGTACTAGTCCACAATCCATATTTTTAACGAAACTTTTCGTCACTTTTTTAATTTAGATCCTGTCATTTTGGACACTAAGATGATCGCAGTTCACTGCAGTTGGAATCACAATGGATCACTACTTGCTATAGCTGGGCGACAATATAGCGACGATAAAGAAATGAATCTAGTTCAGTTTTATAATCCTTTTGGCGAGGTATTTGGGTTTAAGTAGAGGGCGCGAATTAAGGGTGTTTTTCCAGCATTTGCGAACCTTGAAAGTCCCAGGAACGTCAATCTCTTGTTGCGTATGGGAAGGAGGATCATTGAGGGTGGCGTTAGCAGTCGATTCCTTTGTTTATTTTGCAAACATACGACCAGATTACAAATGGTGCTACTTCAAGAAAACTGTCGTTTTTACTTGCTGCAGGCCGCAAAAACCGGGGATTTGCGTCTCTTTTTGGGACATTAGTAATAATCAAGTGAAAATCGCCGAAAAAATATCAACGATTTATTAATTATTTCCATTATAGTGTCACACTGTTTATGTCCCAATACTTATAGCTTTGTCAGGATATGGAGATCACTGTGTTTTAGTCACTAGATCTGAACTTGATGAATCTCCAGGACAGTATGGTTTAATATTATGTAATACGTTAGGAACCGCAGTTGACGGTATTAATTATTTTCGATTAGTGTATCTTAGTTAATTGTTTATCAACTGTAGGTAAATATATCGACATTGAACCAATCGCCGTGACAATGAACTCGACACATGTCATTGCAACGTCCAAAAATAACTTCATCATTTGGCAATACAAAACTCCAAAATCATCATCAGTAGTTACAGGTCTGCAACAACGCACTGAAGAATTTTTCTTAATGATATTTTTATAGGGGCTAGAAACAAATGTAGAATGTTTCATGTCGATGATAATCCAACAGGGGCCGTTGAAGTTATCCAAGAATTAGACAGTTTAGATAAAATTGTTGTAAGCACACACAATAGTTCCGATCCGGCTTGTTGTATCTCCTGCACTGATAAATGTTTAATAATTGGACGCGAGTCTGGATTATTACAATACTATGCTTTACCTCACGTTGTACTTACCAATAAATATAAAATATCATCGCGGCCTCACAAAATCGCAATTAATTGTAACTCAACGTGAGTTTTATAAATGTAGTTACAATTAGGATTTTTTCTTAATTTTTAGGCGTTTGTCTGTAATTGACGTAGCCGGAGTGATGACTGTTCTTGATACTTCTGATGCTATTGGACGGCCTTCTACTACCACCGATAACAAACTAGAGCGTAAAGACGTCTGGGCGATGTGTTGGGCCTCAGACAACCCCCAACTACTTTCAATTATGGAAAAAACAAGGATGTATATATTTAAGGGGATTTATCCCGAGGAACCGGTTTCTTGCTCTGGCTATATTTGCAGTTTCAATGTAACTGAGCGGTTTTCACAAATATGATTATATTATACCGTTGTTGCAGGAATTAGAAATCCAGGCGGTACTCCTTGACGAAATTATGGAGTCTCCCGAACGACCAAACAGTAAAGATCATTTGATCAAGTTGGAAGTGAAAAGTTTGAGAGATACAAGACAACTACTTGAAAAAGTCGGTATTAACGAAGCTTCACTTTTTATAGAAGAAAATCCACACCCAAGACTATGGCGTTTGTTGGCTGAAGGAGCTTTGCGGGAAATGAATTTGTCAATGGCTGAATCGGCTTTTGTTCGATCGCGGGATTACGCCAGAGTTTTATTTGTAAAGAAATTAAAAGATATTAATTCCAATGCGATAAGAAAAGCCCGCATTGCGACCTACTTTAAAAATTTCGATGAAGCCGAAAAAGTCTACATGGAAGCCGATAGAAGGTTTTTTGTTAAGACATTTTGATTTCATAAACAGGGAATTTTTCTAGTGATTTGGTTCTCAACCTACGGCAAACTTTAGGCGATTGGTTCAGAGTGATACAAATTCTGAAAAACGGAACGTCAGCACCTGATTATTTACTCAAAACTGCGTACAACTCCGCGGCTGAATATTTCGTACATTTTAATAATTGGTTAGTATCCAAAAAATTGTGCACTGACTTATGTAAAACAATCCAGGATCACATCAGTTGAATACTACGAACTCGCCGGAAATATGGCTGAAATGATCGAATGTTATTACCACTTAGAAGATTACAAAAAACTGGAGTCTTTTGTACAAATTTTGCCTGAAGGTGACCCACTTTTGAAAAAAATTGGAGACATATTTGCTACCAATGCTGTTATTTCCGAGGCCGTGGAAGCGTATTGCAAAGTATTATTTCTTCCTATATTTTTATAGACTAACGCCATTTTTTAGTTTGGTAACGTAAATACGGCAATTGAGTTATGTATTACACACAACAGATGGAACACGGCTATTGAGTTGGCGAAAAAATATAACATGACTAAAATTTCTGACCTTTTTGTCAAATACACCACACATTTAGAAGATCAAGGGTCACTTTTTGCCGCAATTGATGTAAATATTCAAGCAAAATTTTATTTACATGCAGCTGAACACGCTTATAAGGTTTTTATTTTAATTTAAAAAAATAATATAATTTAAAGTATTTATTTAAGTTAGCAGATTTGGAAAGTAAAAAGCTTAATAAAAATCTCCTAAAAGTGAAAAAACATTACGTCTACGCGGCGAGATTACTACAAATGCATAAGAAAACGCCAAATCCTGGCACGTTTTATTTGTTTTTGTTGTCTTTGTAATAATAAATGATTTGTAGCTGAATGGGCTTCAGATCCTACAGTTTATGAAAACGCATGGAAAGGTGCAGAGGCTTATCATTATTACATACTTGCCCAGGAGCAGCTGTACAGTGGTAAACTACATGATGCCCTATGTACATCCTACAAACTTCAAGATTACACCAGTTATCTAAATGCACTTGATATTTATTCATTGTTGGCGTTAACGGCTTGTTTGGACCGATCGTTTGGAATTTGTTCCAGAGCACTTATAAAACTTACAAATTTGCCGGAAGTAAGTTAATTTAGTGTCAAAAAACTGGTAAACATTAACCTTTACACCTATAGATTAGTGAAACCGCTAGGAATCAATACAAAAAATTGGCGTGGGACATATTTATGAAAAATGAACCGAAAGATTTAAAACAAATTAAACTCAAATGTTCCAATTGTGGAAATTTGACGTCTGATTGGTACAGTGATAGAATATTAACAGTTAAGAAAAAAGTTGATTGTTTAAATTGTAGGAGAACTAGGTGTCCCAAATGCAAGATCCATTTCCCTACGTGTATTGCCTCTGGCAGATCTATAATTGAAGAATTAAGCAACACATGGCTTTGTTCACATTGCCATCACCCAGCTTTTGAATCACAAATGACTTTTCACAATGTTTGCTTACTTTGTCACGCAAATAAATAAAACTCAAAAATATAAACACACGTTCAATTAATTTAATCCCTCTTAATATGACAAAAATAAAAACATTTATTAGAGTAACAATCTGTATAATTTTTCAAAAGTTCTACTAATAACAACATAAAGTCCCCGCAAAATTAATATTATTCATGATAAATGTGACTAATAAATGCATTAAATAGAATAAAATGGGGAAAAAATTACAACCCGATTCTCGACTTGCGTGCCCTCATAAAAATGCTGTCGATTTTACTGAATACCTCGGACGCAGCTTTAGAAGCATCAATACGGTGGTGGATTCCCCGAATTTGGTAATAATCGACAAGAGGCCTGGTTTGTGTATGATACGCTTGAAGACGCTTTTTCAAAGCTTCTGCAGTGTCATCAGAGCGTCTCACAAGGGGCTCACCAGTAACGTCGTCGGTCATGGGTTTTTTAGGGGGATGAAATTCCTCGTGATATGAACGGCCACTTTTTGGATGGATTAATCTACCAGTAATACGGCGCACCAGTAAACTGTCATCTATACCAAATTCTATCACAGCGTCTAGACTTGTGTCCCTTTTCTCCAATAAATCATCAAGCTACACATTGCAATGTTCGATTAAACAGAATAAAATTGTAAGGACTTACCTTCTCAGCCTGCACGACGGTTCTAGGAAATCCATCCAACAAAAATCCGTTTTTGCATTCAGGTTTGTCAAGGTTGCTATCAATCATGTTAACAACAAGATCGTCGCTTACGAGTTTTCCTTCGTCCATGACTTTTTTCAGTTTGGCTCCTAGAACTGAGCCAGATTGGATTTCAGCGCGTAGCATGTCTCCAGTTGAAAGGTGACACACACAATACTTTTCTTTCAGTTTGGGGGCCTGAGAATTTTCTTTTAATTTTCCATTTTTAAACGTGTACATAATACTTACTTGAGTTCCTTTACCCGAACCTGGGGGGCCCAATAGAATAGCGTTGATGCCAATTGGGGCATCTTCTCGAGATATTTTTGGCACAGCAACCGAAGGCATTTTCTACAACGAATGTCTGAAATTAAAGAAAGTCCCTATAGTAATTGATACTCGAGCGATAATCATTTAAAGTGACCCCATTCACCTTTGATATCTAGAAAAATTATACGATTGTGACACACATTGAGAAATGTCAAGTTTAAATGTAGCCAACATAACAAACATAAACCAAGCCGACTGTGACTGGGATTTTTTTTTCACCTTTACCTTTACTTTTTCTATTAGAAGATGAAAAATTAAACAATTGGGTATTAAGAAAAGTAATAATATATTTAAATTATCACGAAAACACTTAAAACAAAACTATCATACAAACATTAATACAACATTAGGAGGTTTTTATGGAAACAAAAGAACAATATAAAAACATTATTAAGTAGTAAGTCTTTTGGTTTATTAAAGTTCGTCTTTGCTGTCCAAGTCAACATCAGACAGATCAATATCTTCTTCTGGAGGAAGTTCACCATCTTTGCCATCCCATGGTTCAATGGAAACAATTTTTGGAAGTTGGTCACCTTTTACTGGAGACGTATTTCCACGTCCATAGGACAGATCCCTACACATTTCAAATGTATTAAAAACATTACAACCAAAAAACCCACCTTAAGAATTCATTAATTCCATCTCGTGAAAATGAACCCCTAAGAATTGAATATTTCATTTTCCTTGGATTAATAACAGCCATTGCTGGATATCCAAATCCTCCAATATCCAAAGCATTTTCAAGTTCCAACTGAGCGCCAGCTTCAGACCAAACCCATCTAAAAAATCAACAAATAACACCTATTCCTAGTTACTATTTAAAATAAAGACATACCCCCACATCTTCTTCTTATATTTTTCTCCCAATTCTTTCAAAATGTTAATATAATTATTCCTACAATCGGACTGGCAATCTAAAATATGTGGAAGAAGGGCCACAACGCACAAAGCTTTTTGGTCACAAGCCTCTTTAAACATATTTTGGTCAATAATTTGTAAAACATCAGGAGCTGGCACATTCTCTGCCAACTTTTCCAAGGCCCAGGCAACAATATCACTTGCCGTTCTGCCACCATCATAATCAGAAACAGAATCGGAAGTTTTCTTTCCAGGTGCGAAGAATTTTATAGTTGGGTAGCCCTGAACTCCGTATTTGGAAGCTTGAACTTGGTGAACGGTTGCATCAAGAGCCCCAAGTTTAACTTTTCCTTTTAATTCTGTTGCTGCTTTAGCCCAATGAGGCGCAAGGTTTTTACAATGTCCACACCAAGGGGCGAAAAATTCAACAAGCCACATGTCTTCAGATTGTAAAACTTGTTTATCAAAATTACTATCAGTTAGTTCAATCACGTCTTTGGTATCATGACTCTGAAACATAAATTTAAGTAATAAAAAAAATACATAATTAGACCTTTACTTGTCCTGAGCCTGAGGACCCTCCTCCAAGACTGGCCTTAACTTTGGATTTAACAGCTTGCAAGGCTGCCTCTACTAACCCTTGTGCCGTCCTTGCACCGTTGTAATCCTCTGGTTTGTTTTTGTTACTCCCAAAAATTTTGATTGTCGGAAAACCTCTAACACCATAACGCCCCCCAAGTTCCTTATGTTCATCTGCATTTACTGCTCCCACTTTAACTACGCCCTAAAAAAGCAATTATTATATGAACCCCAATGGCTGGCAAGAAATACCTTAAGAGCGGCTGCAGCTTTCGTATATTCAGGAACTAAGGCTTGACAATGTCCACACCAAGGTGCAAAAAATTCAACAATCCAAATTTCATCTCCTTTAAGTACTAATTTATCAAAATTTGATGGGGTTAAGTCAATCACATTTGAGCTTGAGGGGTAGAGAGCCAACGAACTTGCTAACACAAGGGTTAGCACTGGAAAAACTTTTACACATTCACATAACCTATAAATAAAAAAATGTTCATTACTCACCAAGCAGCTTCTTCATTATTTTAGATGAGTGTTGTGAAATATGAAACTTAATTCTCAGTGAAAATAACTCAAATATGTATCAAAGCCGGTAACTTCCCCAACAGACACCAGCATCACTTCGTGGTTGTTTCTGATTGGTTGGTTTAAATTTGAAACAAAAGCCGATGACGACCTCTACTATACTTTTTTCAAATTTTACCGCCAAACTCGATTTTTTTCATTTAATACACATTTTTTTGATTATTTATGTTTACATTTAATGTTTTTATTCCAAAAGTTATTAAAGTAAAAAACGTTGCAAAAGGTAAATGTAAGTAGTTTAATTTTTGTTTTGTTAATTTGATTTAATGCTTATTTGGGTTTATTTATTTATTTATTTTTTTTTGATAGAGTACTTTTATAAGATAGTACGTACACCTCACATACAAATAATTCAATAAGCTACACCCTAAAATTTAATTTGAAATAGGTTCTACTTCAATAAACACATTGATGTTCGCTGTATATATACTAGTTGAATTCGAGCACCTGTTTTTCCGAGTTTGAAAAATCTATTTAAACTTTCATCTATGATAACTCAGCTACAATGAAATGATAAACTCGATAAAAACTTGCATCCTTGTTTATTTGTTGTAAGAAGTAATCAGTGAAATTTAAGTATTTATAACTAAAAGGTCGTGATCTCCGTTATTCATGCACTCAATTTTCCCGTAAAACTTATCCTTCAATTGAACTAGAAAAATGATGCGTTATGAGTAGTTTTATTTGTACCGAGTGTCTTTAGTACTTTACTTGATCATTGGTTTAATTATGCAATTCAGCCAGTTAACTTTATTGATGGACCAGCTTTGTGAACGGTGGAAGTGTTGATAGTGATTAAATAAAAACCGTTGAATTATAACTAATAATTAATTTGGTGATGGTATGTTTATTGTTATCATAAAATCTTATCTTAATCTCGTACTATCTTAATTTGTTCTCGTTTTGTATAGTTTTCTTCCTTAATTTTGTGAGACAGTGTACGGCTAAAATGTTACGACTTTTCGTACTAAATATAGTTTATCTTCCAAGCTTGTTTGTTCTTTAATAAATTAATTGGTTAATTGATCACGTTGCAGATGTTCAGTTAACTATTATTTCTCAAGTAAGTTAAAGAATTAAGCAAAAAGCCCTCAGCAAACCTTTAGAATATATTTACCTATACATAAATGATTTTATAATGCGTTTTGAATGTAACTTTAAACAGTAAATTTTATGCCATGTAAAGGCATTCCAGAATGTAGAGAAACGTGATGAGGTGAACACAGACTTTGCTGATAATGGATTCTTGATAAGTGCAGTTATCCATATTTAATTGTTTTCAGTTCTGAATGTGGTACAACAAGATGAATATTTGTGTTTGGGTAATAACATTCTGTGTTTCCTTTACATTTACACAAACACAGATTTGTAAAAAAGACTATAGATGTAAAATAAGCCGAATTAGCGGAATGAAGGCGGTCGACTGCCGCAATAAAGACATGGGGACAATTTCTCAGTGTTTACCGAATGATGTTGAGGTAAATTATTGTTGTTATCAAAAAATATGAATGTAAAATTTGCTTCCAGATAATCGACCTATCTCGGAACAGAATTCGCAAAGTAACAAAAGAGGACTTAAGAAAATATTCCAATTTGAAAATGTTGTACTTAGACGACAATATGATAATGACTATTGATGAAGAAAGCTTCGAAGGAAAAGATTACTTGCAAACTATAGATCTGACACTTAATGGGTTGACGAAAATTCCTTCCGTATTATTTCACCTCCCCTCTCTACAAGTTCTATATCTGAGGCAAAATTTAAATATTAACGTTGTCGACGCTATTGAAAAAGCCAAACCTATCACCAGCCCTTTGCTTCGGTTAGACATTAGTTATATAATGACTGAAGAACCGGACGAGTTACCCGATTTAGGATTAATCCCCACTTTGGAACAATATAATATATCAGGAAACAAACTCTTGTCACTGAAACCCAACCATTTTGCAGGTCTTTGCAATTTAAAAATTTTAGACACTGCAAATATGTCCATCCAATATGAAGAACCGTGCGATTGTTGGACTATTAATCGCTGGTTGAAAAATCGAGAAGTCGTTTTTAAACATTTTGAATGTAGTGTGAAGGCAATAGGTGAGTTTTTATTTTACCAACTATTTTGATTTTACCAACTATTTTTTCAGAATGTCTTGAAGAGGTCTCCTCTGACGATTTGGAAATTTATACCCGATGCCGACAAATATACGAAGAAAATATAAAAAAATCCAAAATGAAAACAATTTTATGGATTGTCATTCCGCTATTTGTGGTAATTTTTGCAATTATTGTCTTTTTCATAGTGAGGAGGAGGCAAAAGCAAAGACAAAAACACAGGGACAAAAACAATAGGGGGCAGGAAATGAAGCTTTGTAATAACGTTTCAAAAACATGAGTGATTTTTTGATGATTGAATGTTTAAATAAAATAAGTATGAGTTGTATTTGATTAAAATAGTTACCACATACGCATAAATCTTCGCTTGAGCAAATTTCAGGTAGAACTCAAACTGTAGATATGACTAATTTTGCTGTGATATGGTAGCTAATAAAATACATTTGCGCTCTGTAAAATAGTTCGCGCGTTGTGTATATATTTATTAATAAAATTGTTTATGTATATGTTCATACAGTTTTGATTTCTTTGGAGAAAAGCTTGCACAAAAAATTACATCTAAGTTGCAGTAGTAAATCCCATTTTATTTAAAACAAGGACACTAATGTTGTTATTTAAGGTTTTATCGAGTATGTTGGTTTATTATTTTTTTTTTAATTAGGACTCTAGTTAGGCAACCAAAAATACAAAAAGTTGTGCGCAGCAGCACAGCAATAACCATGCCAGCAGTTCGCTGTTCACTTTTGTGGTTGGTTTCTTCTCTTTTTCCGTGCTCGAGGAAGTACAACTTCTAAATGGAACTTTCTTTGTGGTGTTCCCTTCATAAAAAGTAAATACGTGTTTATAGCACAGTTTACTATTAAAATACACGTGAGTCGTTTTCCAAATGTTTACTTAGAGGAAATGGTGCAATTCACTATAAAAATTACATAACCTTCAATTTTCGTTTTTTCTGGGAAAAGTTTGTTGTAGAGTGTCATAATGCTTTATATTTACAGTGAAAGTTCAAGATGATGAAATTCTCATCATTGAAACATCCGACTCAAGCACGTTACATTTAAAATCGTCAATGATGAAGAACCCTTCGACGTCGCCTAAAACGACATTATCACTCCTTAATCACATTAAATATGAACACCTCATAGCGGGAATCTCAGGAGGGGCCATTTCGACACTCATTTTACATCCTTTAGACTTAATGAAAATACGATTTGCAGGTATTTAAAATGAATCATTAATTTAGTACAGAATCAAACAGCTCTGTTTTTTTATCAGTTAGTGATGGCAGAACGACAATTCCTCAATACAGTAGTTTGACGAGTGCATTTTACACTATTGTTAAGCAGGAAGGAGTTAAGGGTCTATATAGGGGTGTAGCTCCAAACGTTTGGGGTTCAGGAAGTGCTTGGGGTTGCTATTTCTTATTGTAAGTTTTTTCTTTTGTTTTAAATCAAAGCTAATTTTTATTTCAGTTACAATTCTATAAAAAATTGGATTCAAGCTGGCGATAGTCAGTATCCTTTAGGACCAACGCTGCATATGTTGGCAGCAGCTGAGGCTGGTGTGCTGACTTTACTTGTTACAAATCCAATTTGGGTGGTAAAAACTAGGCTGTGCTTGCAGTATGGACCAGAAGCAACTCTTTCTACTAGAGAATGTTATAAAGGAATGACAGATGCATTAGTTAAAATTTATAAAACAGAAGGTGTACGGGGTCTATATCGGGTCAGTGAAACAAGAAAAACAACGCAGTTCCAATGAACTGTAATTAGGGATAGGGATTTCCTTATAAAATATTTGTAGGGTTTCATTCCGGGGATGTTTGGTGTTACTCATGGGGCTCTACAGTTTATGACTTACGAAGAAATGAAGACGTTTTATAATCGCTCTAGGGGAATTCCTTTTGACAATAAGCTTGTAAGGTTTCAGTTAAATTTAGCACTAATCGTTCTTAATCACTATTTTAATAGACAACCGGAGAATATTTGACATTTGCGGCAGTTTCTAAATTAATTGCGGCTGCTGCTACTTATCCATATCAAGTGATACGAGCACGTCTACAAGATCAGCACCATCGTTATGAAGGGACATGGGATTGTATTAAGAAGACTTGGAAATATGAGCGGATGCGAGGCTTTTACAAAGGATTAGCGCCGTACTTACTTCATGTTACTCCAAATATATGTCTAGTCATGCTTATCTATGAAAAATTTACTAACAATTAGAGAAAAGTTCAAGACTTAATTTTTCAAATAATGACAAACTACTAATAATATTTAAAAAAACCTAGTAATCTAACTATTCAAATATGTAGTTGTATGACATTAAAGAAGATGATGTTTCAAATTTTGCATTTTTTAGTTTTTTCTTAAACTTGCATTCGTTTTTATTAAAAAATATTGATTATGTCATAGATTCTAAGTATTAATAGGTTTAATAAAACTATACTTTGTTTTGTTCTTTAGTCAATTTGTTACATATCAGAAATTTTAATAGTGATGCATAAATGAGTGAGACTTTAATTTGTATGAAAATAAATAAATATGAAGAAGCAGGGTTCATCAAATTATTTTTCTATTTTAATGCTAAGAGATTGAGGTATTGTCATTGTCATTGAAAGAATAAATGTGATATATAACGTGGACCTTTTATTTAACTCCTTCACCTTTTACTACAGATAACCAGTTATTGACTTATCAACAAGTTGAGTTTTAACATTACTCCACAATGTATAAAGTTCATTCGTCTCCTTTACTTTTATTATAACTAAGATAAAAATGATAACTATGTCTCCGTTGATGAACTTTGTAATGCAGACCAGTACTTGATAAGAAATATGAAACAAAAAAATAATTGGAATAGCTGCGTTTTTTTTATTTACTTGGCGATGTTTAACCGTTTCGTTCTAAATTTAACTAAGCTACATGTCCCCAGATGTAGAGTTTTTAGATTACTGGAAGTTTTCTATCAATTTAATGATGCTAAATTTCTTTCTACTTATTTCAATTTTATTATTACCTAAAAATAACAAATATGCGCTTATATAGAAGCGTGTAGTAGTAAATGCGTCTTAGAGTTTGGGTGTATAGATCTTTTAATGGTAATAGATGCTAAAAATACAGTAAGTAAATGTTTCTGAACGGTACCGAAGGTGCGACTGCTAAACCAGTGTTTCATGTAGATTTAAATAAAAAAAAATACAATTCAATTCAGATTAGGATGATAAAAAATTAATGTTTAATCATATCTTCCCAATTCTTGAAAGAAGTAATCTGGAATATGGGAAATTTGTGTTTTGTAAACGCGGAGACTGTGCAGTATGGAGGATGCGCGTGCTATGACGATTTTCAGTTTTCTCATTACTAATGCTAGTATGAGCATCAGCGGTGATCGGTACGGAAACTCAGTGCCACATACCGTCCGTTTTTCGGGTTAATCCAATAATACCTCCAATTCTATTGATTTATTAACTCTTTGTTAAGATGATGCCGGAGATACCGAAAATTTTTTACTCTTGCGTTATTGCCGCCCCTTCACAACACTCTCATGAATACTTAAATGGTGAATATAGTAGTTTCCTCAACCGGCAATTTCATCCCCCTATTTACCTTGCTGATCCACCTGATTAGAGTTTGTAAGCTTTGAGCCTCGAGTTAACTTCCTTCATCTTACATTTTTTAATATTTGAAAAACTTTCTCATTACTTTCCTACAATCTTAGTTCACATTTCTAACAATTTAACAGGCAATGTTTGTATGAGTTTTTGATCAAAAAACGAAAATTTACGTTATGACAAATATCCCTCAAAATCATCTAGTTAGGGATTGCCAACAAACGAGTTTTATTAATTTTTAACGCTCTATGAATAGAGAAGCACACACCTAATATGCGTTACGAGTGTTAGGAAGATATACTATGTAAATCGAATCGTGGTTGAGCATATCACTAATCACCATCTCTAAAATGATAATTTGATTAGCTCCTATTTAAATAAACAACACCAAAACAAAAAAGTAAATTCTTAATATATTCTAAAACATAATTTTGATAAGCTGATAAACGGATTTTAAATTTTCGTCCTTCAACTATTTAATTCTTTAATCAAAAATAATTACAGTTGTTTTGTAAAAAGAACTAGGTTTATGAAGTGAAGGGGTTAAAAAAGAAGAGAGGGAGCTTTTGGCAATAAGCCAACAATCTTTCGACATTTTGACGACGTTGCTAGTTTTCTGTATATATATTTTGTCTGTGTCAAAAGTCAGAACAACGCACCTAAATAAATTCATTTTATTAGCATAAATATTAGCTTGAAATCGTAAATCAACAACTTGAAAAAAAATTAATAAAAGTAGATGGGCTGCAAATATGGTGGAGGCGCCGGGTGGAAAACTTTACCCTCATGGTGCCTCACTTAAGACTTTTATAATAAACACAAAACAACATATAGTGTTTGTATGTGTGTTATTTTATCTAGAAATCAATTTAGACGTGCTAAAACCACAAATGTTTTTAAGTTGCAAATAACCTTCTGTGTACTTTGCAGATTCTTTGAAAGGAGAATAACGTGTTGTAAGCAAAATGACATCTGGGACTTCTTCGCCTACACCAACGGATTCGCCGTCCTTATCACAACGACCTTTACTCACAGCAATAACTCCAATACCAAAGAAAACTGTTGAGTTTGAAGCCGTGCCAACGAAACGGTCCGATGCTTCAACTAAAGATCCGGAAAGGTAAGTTATTTTTCTGTATGAATGAGTTTCGTACACCTGTCGATGTTTTGATTTTAAATGGCGTTTGATTGGCGTCGCGACGCGGCGCATGCTTAAAGGTATTCGGATGTAATCGTCTCAGTTTCGTTGCTTTGCACGCGCCTCAGTGTGAGCATAAATGCAGATTCCCATCACCTGGTGAAAAGAAACATACGGCGACGGCAACGGTAATGGTGAAAGTGGCAAAGTGTTTGAAATGGTCACACTCGTGAGTGATCGATTTTGTGTATCGTGCGCTTAACTATAACGCTAAGGTCCAGCAGACTAATAATTGATGTTGATGCTGAGGCACATCTTTACTGATGCTGATTGGAGTAATCAAAAGCGGATTCAAGTGCGGTGCACATGGCAGGAAACGTGACTTCGACCACAGTAGTTTTCACATCCGTCGATGTACTAATGTTTACATGCTACTGCCTGGAACACGACTGAATCTGGTACACCTCTTCTTTTTGGTAAATTTAAGTGCGCTTGTCTTTTTTTAAATTATATTAATTGAATGAGCATTAAAAAAATTGTAATTGAAACTAAGACAAGATTTAAAAAATATAAAGGGATAAAGATTAATAAGATCACGATTGTTAAAAATATGTACTGAAGCGGAAATTGGTAAATTTGAACAGCACAATACAATGAAATGGGGTCCGCGCTATTCAGTGTTTAGTTTAAAGTGTTTAAAAATAACAAAACTTCCCACGTAAATTAACTGAGTAATTTATGTGGTTATTGTGCATAATATAATCCTGTTTAATTACATATTTAAATATTTTGACAAAGAAAATTGATCGATATCTAATATTTGAAAAGTTATTTAACTCATACGTAGATAAACTGCAAAAGGTATATAAAGTTACATTTCTATAAAAATAGAATAAAGAAAATAATTAAATGGTTGATTGTTTCTAAACATCGTGATGGTAGTTCGTTATTGATTTTTAAATAAACAAATTCCTGAATTAAGACCCATTGTGTAGCAAAGAATAACAAACATCATAAAATAATCTAAGCTCTTCATCGTAATAAAAAAAACCGGATACTTTTAGTTAATTAAATTTAGATTATAAAACGAATATCGCATCATCTAATCTGGAGTTTTTAGGTAGGCCAACAGGAAATCTCTGAGCGTCAGGCTTGACTACCACACCCTGCACTGCATCTATCAGTAATTCGGCAACAGAGCATTTTCCTATTGATTTTAATAAACGTAAATGTTTTTGTAAAATGCGTAGGCGTTATGTACAGAGCGAACTCTATTTAGAGTTTGTAGAAAACATAGATTTACCGACTTATGTTCAATATCTTAATTTGCTGCAATTCTGCATCTTGCTACTCCAAGAAATCATCCGTCCCACTAATATTTTTTATCAGGTTTAGTGTTAACAAATTAATGGCATTTTTAAACATATTGTAAGCTTTTTACCAGAACAGATTTTTCGCAAATGCCAAGTCAATTATTGTTGCAGATACATAATTATGTGTTACGTGTGGCACTTTGACCCTTTACCGAGATTTTTTAGATCAATACTTTTATAAAAAAAAAAAAACGAGTTTAAATAAAATGTATGACCCACATTGGCCCTTATAACAATAAAAAATGTAAAAACTATTTTCTTATAAATATGAAAAAAAAAAACTAAATAAAGTAGAAAAGTTTCTCGTATTGATTGAAAAACATTTTATTCTAAAAACAAGGGATTCAACAATTGTTATTTGTTGAAATTTGTTGTAGTTTGACGTTACGGCAAAAACGCGGCCGTCTTACACAACCCCGGATGAGTCTTCTTGGTAGACCGCTCAATTATAGAGCTTCACGCCGAGATGCTCGCTATCGTCGAATTCAAAGTCGAGTTTATAACTTCCTAGAAAGACCTCGGGGGGTCGCTATTTTCTACCACATGATAGTGTAAGTAACGGAAACTCTGCTAATTGAATTTATCCAGTCCCGGAAACAATTTTGTACCAACTTATTCAATTTACGAAAGAAAAATGGGATAAAAGGAAAAAATGTTAGTAGTTAATTTGAAAAATCTTTTCAGTTTCTTGATGGTTTTTACATGTTTAACATTGAGTGTATTTTCAACGATTGAAACTTATGAAGATATGACTGTTCAAGTTTTAACTTACATGGAATCGTTCGTCGTTATTTGGTTTGCTATCGAATTCAGCCTAAGGTAATACATAATTCTGTTTTAAATTTCTGAGATATGATGTTTGATCGATTTTTCAAACAAATATTTGATTTTGTTTACATATCAGGCTCTGGTCTTCGGGATGTCGCTCCCGCTACCAGGGATATATTGGCCGCCTTAAATTTCTTAGACGTCCGTTCTGTATTATTGGTAAGTTATTTCCAGTGTAAAAAAACTATCTTTTTTAATTTAATTTTTCAACAATTAACTCTAGATGTTATAACAATTGTGGCTTCCATTGTTGTATTGGTCATGAGATCTCGCGGTCAAGTTTTAGCGACCAGTGCTCTTCGTGGTTTACGATTTTTCCAAATTTTGCGGATGGTACGAATGGACCGTCGCGGTGGTACTTGGAAATTATTGGGCTCAGTCGTGTACGCACATAGACAAGTAATAAGTAGTTTTTGTTCAAATCTGAAGACAACTACATTTTTCTCTTGCAGGAACTTATCACTACGTTATACATAGGATTTTTGGGTTTAATTTTCGCCTCATTTTTGGTGTTCCTTGCAGAAAAAGACGTAAATAAAAATTTCTCAAACTTTGCGCAAGCTTTGTGGTGGGGTGTCGTAAGTTTTTTATTTGTAAAAATAATCATCATCTACACTTTTTAATTTAGATTACATTGTGCACTGTTGGTTATGGGGATATGGTTCCAGAAACGTGGCAAGGCAAAATAATTGCTTCTTTCTGTGCTTTACTTGGTATATCGTTTTTTGCGCTGCCGGCTGTAAGTTCTACTTGCAATTACAAAGTACTACATACAATTTGGGTGTACATATTTTAGGGTATTTTGGGATCCGGTTTTGCTTTAAAAGTTCAGCAACAACAGAGGCAAAAGCATATGATTAGGAGACGACAACCAGCAGCAATGCTAATTCAGTCACTTTGGCGATGTTACGCAGCCGATGAGCACTCCCTTTCAATAGCTACGTGGAAAATTCATCAAGTTCCTTTACCCAGTCCGCCTTCGTAAGTGATACATTTTTACTAGATTTGTACATATTTTCGTTAAATAGAAAAGCTCTTACGGTATACCTAGAACTAACACAATAATAAAAATAAATTACTTTTGAAATAAACTACTAGAAAAACAAGAATTAACTAGAATTAGAATTAACTATCCTGTGCTTTATTATCTATACTGTCTATTTGTTCCTATTTCTCACTCTGTTTTCAACTTGCACGTTTCCCAGAATTAAATTACAAGACACTGATAAGGTGACAGAGAAGATTACATCTATTTCTTCTGTTGTGTAAGTGTGCTGTACATACCTACGTACCAAATATTAAAGCATGATTCTGCATGAAACGTCCATTATTTCTGATTACATTTTCTTGCTGGTTAATTTATTGCAAAAACTTTAAACTGGTGTTGCGAACATTTACAATAAGTTAACAAGCATTTTTTCCAATTTTGCAGGTAAGTTCTCTTCACTCTCGTCTCATAATACATCAGAAAATTTTCGCTTTTCATTAACACGTTTTTCCTAATTTTAACTAAATATTTCGTTGGTTATTTTAGACGAGTGTCGAGCAGTTTTAAGCACAATGCATCATTTGTGAGTCGATTACCGACAATTCGTCGCCACAAAAGCACTTCACTTCACTCTCCGTCGATGCAAAAAGGACCACCAAGAAGTGGTAGAAGTTTCGTGGATTTAAACGCATCAGCAGAAAATTTAGGTAGATTACGACAGTAGTTTTTGCATATTTGGCCGTAAAATACAAAATAGTTGATGTTAACAGGAGTCAGTAACAACGGATCGCGAAATTTAAGCCATAGTGAAGATTCAGTTGCAGAGACGATGCTTTCGAAAAAAAATTCCGACGGTAAATATTTTTTTATAGGCTTTCGGACAATTTTTTGGGTAATTATTTATTTTTTTTTCTAGATGAAGACGACGAACCGAGATATATACAGTTAACGAATCAACACAAAGGTGCAATCCGGGCTATTCGTAAGGTAGGCAGCTTTTACCTATATTGCACTTTTATATGATCGTTTTATCACTCATTTCCATAGCGAACCAGCAATATTGATTCGATGTTTCATTATTATTTAGATGAAGTATTTTGTAGCAAGGCGAAAATTTAGAGAAGCTTTGAAACCATACGATGTCAAAGATGTGATAGAACAGTACTCAGCCGGCCATGTTGATTTACTTGGCAGAGTGAAAAACGTTCAAGCTAGGTACACTCTGGTGTATTTCGAAGGTTGATTGTGTAGTTTTCCTTGGAATTACATAAAGTCAATCAGTTTTGATATACATACAAACCGAGTGGATTTTCTAAAACGAAACATCTAACAAATTTCCATGTCTTGCAAAAGCAGTCACTATTACAGTTTTGGAAAGGTGTATTGTTTTATTCGCCACTCTGTATATCATACAATCCAATCAACCTTTTTGTATGTCTGCCTTATCTGTCGTCTTCGATTGACGATTCTGACTTTAAAAATATATAATGCTACTTGATTGTGTGTGTGGCCGTCACTAATCACTAATCACCAACCACTGAAACAAGTTATTCGCATGCTGACTGTGGGTTCCTTTAGTGTTTGACACGTAAATTTCTCATATGTGTAAAAAATTTAAATGTATTTATATATTGAAAATTTAGATTACATATGATAATTAAATATAAAAATTCATGCATATATGTTATACGAGTATGTATCTAAAAATCATGTATGTACCTCGCTTTGTGTGTGTAGCTCAAGTATTTTGTGGCACGAAAGAAGTTTAGAGAGGCCTTGAAGCCATATGACGTTAAAGACGTTATAGAACAATATTCGTCTGGGCATGCAGATCTTTTGAATAGAGTGAAAAACTTACAGTTCAGGTAAGATGCCTGAACCAAATAGGTTCTATTTATTTTGGAAATGTTTTCAAAAATGGAATTATAAGAAAAGCTCTCACAATGCATGAGTGTTTATTTTGCACTTTGCTCTGATTCACATAAAATGTCCCAAAACCAAAGCTTGAGCATGTATATATTGTCCCGCAAAGTAATGCCTATTACATCTATAAAGGTTTAACGCATGTCCTATTACAGATTAGATCAAATCCTAGGAAAACAAGGCTCCAAGGCAAAAGATGTTTATGCTTCCAAAATCAGTTTAGCGTCTCGCGTAGTCAAAGTTGAAAGACAAGTAGGTAAAAAACATAAAAAAAATTTTTTACTATGTGTGCTTTTTTAGGTAGATGACATAGAGTCTAAGATTGACCAGCTTCTAGAACTTTATATGGAAGACCGAAAACGCTTCCTCTCTCTTCCTTACATCCAATCAACCGCCGAAAAAAACACCACTTCCTCTAGTACAACTGTCAATCTAAGTTCCTCGATCATGACAAATCCGTCAAGTACAATCCTTAAACCTAAACCAATTCTTGTAGAGAAACAATCATCCGAACCAAGTTCACCAATCACAAAAAGTTTTAAAGAACCTTCAACGACAACAGCAACTAAACGACCAATGCATCGCGGATATTCCGATCTCGGCAATCGCATTAAAAAAAGAGTTACGTTAAGGTTTTGTTTACTTTTCCACCGAAAACCATTTCCATATCACTTATTTGCAGTTCAATTTCGTCGAATTATATGCGTCCAACGGATAGCATGTCCTACGACGGCGAAGTAGTCATTGTGGTCCCTCCCATTAACAGTTCAGCGTCGACAGTTGGTGGCAATACTGATGTTATCATAGGATCTACACAAGAACGGGATTTAGGGAGCCCAAGGACGGCCACAGAAAGCTCTGGTAAATGTTGTTTCATGAAAATTTTATTTAGAATGCCCCTATATTGCTTACTAATATTTTTCAGCTTCTTATGATGGTTATTCATCATCTACGTCCTTGTAGTGATGATTGCGGACTAATAAGATAGTTTCTGTGAGTTTAACGCAAATGTCGTTGGATATTCTACGTTTACCTCTCATATAATGTGGAATGTGCATGTAGTTTTCCTCAAATCGCGATCCGAACATTATAAATGAAAATTTTTAATAATACATAACCTATTTAGCTCCTCTCCGTAATAAACCGCTAACCAGTGCTAAATAAAAATGAACTGAACATAACTAACAGCGGTCGTCGACGAAGATTTCGCCATAAACTTTAATAAATATTAATCTTGTAATGCGCGTAATCATGTATTTTTTATTCTCGATGTTGAAACTATAAAAACTATCTGTTTCTTGATCCTCTAGTAACCGTTAGTAGAGTATATTCGTCTGTAATGACAAACCCTGTAGCGAAACTGTACAAATTCTTAAATAATTATCATTTGTTTTTTTCTACAGGAGTGAGAAAGTTAACTCGAAATCGGAATTGTGAAGAAGATGAAGTCGACGCAACGGAAAAGCCGTTACTATGTCGTTCGAAGTCAACAGAAATACTCATTACGCCAACGACATTAGAAACTACCAGAGAAGAATTTTATGATAATAAACTACAAACTAATTTACAATCAAAGAACAAATTTTTAAAAGACGATGTATGACATAATTTAAATTTGTTATTAGTTTATATAATATGAACGTTAAAATTTAATAAAATGTAAATTATTATAGATTTTTGGACCTAAAACTTGCGAATATTTTAACATGTACTGAACTTAGGGCACAATAATGACGCTTATTAATATAAAAAATATATTTGAAAAATTTGTACTTCTTCACATACGATAAAAATTTGCTGTAGGGTGTTATAGCTGTGATTTGTTTTGACGTTTTATACTGAAACTTTACAGGGACATTTGCCAATGCTTTGTAGATTAATTCATTTACGCTTCAACAAGTGAATTTTAACAGCAAATTGTATTTACAACGACCACACTATACTCCTAACACTTTTATATCACTTAGAAATAAAAACGAATATAATATGTACTGACTAATAAACAATCAACGACTTTAAAAAATGTGCTGCTGAAATTCACTTTTAACGAGTAAACTGTAAGTACATACTGTTAAAAATTAGGTATTTAAAAATGTACGTAAAATATTGTGATTAATTTATAATTTACTATAGACACTTAACGACAGTAATATTTTTTGACCCAATCCATTGCCAACTGTTGTTATAAGTATTTATTTGCTTAAACATGATGTAAAACATCTACTGTACGGAATTTTTAATGAAACAATTTAGAGAGTAACAAGTTTTATTAATTTAATTGTTCCTACAAAAAGATTATATCTTAAATTAACTCTAACATATAATGGAATTGAACGAATTAAAATAATAAGAAATCATATGGAACAGTTTATCGCAACACTGAGAAAATCTTCAAATCCAATTGTAATAATTCCCTTCATTTCGCTATCTCTTGAGCGGAAAGCCTCAGTGAACCGTTGTATTTGTACACAAAGTACAATAAACTGGTCTACTGACATTCGTTTGTGATTTTGTAGGTCGCTTTTGGCAATTAAAAATTTTATAAATTCGGGAGAAAATTTAAATCCCATTTGTTGTAGCGCTGAAAAATACCATCTAGTAATATATGCAACATACAATACAGTACCGCAGTATTCCGTAACATAATTATAAAAAAATACATTTCCGGTCCGTTATTGGCAATAGATGTAGAAGAAAAAAAAATGTTCATTTAATTACCTTGGGCAAGTTCTGGCTCTTCAATATGTCCTGACTGGTCTCTATCATAGTTTTTAAACACAGCTAACCACTGATTAATGTAGGTAAAAAGTTGTTGGAATTCGTTAATATCAATTGTTCCTGTTTTGTCTCTATCAAACATCCCAATCATAAGTTTGCAAGCAACATCAGTAAAATTTTTTCCCTGGCCATTGACAAGAGCACTTTGCAATTCTTGCCAATTTATTTGACCAGAACGATCTTTATCTACTGTATTAAACCACTGTTGAACATCGGGGCTTATAGCTCCTTGACTGTACCCAGGGGCAGCCCCACCAGGATATCCTTGGTATCCACTACCGAGATTCTATTTAACAAATTACAATTATAATAATAATGTAATTTATTACAGTTCTAGGGTTACTTACACCGTACATTATGCTTGTAACACGTAAGGTTACGAATAAAATATATTATAAATTTTCAAACATTTGTATAAACAATTATTAATCACTAAAAACTCACTGCTGTCAATTTTCGACACAGCAAACAGAGAATTCTCGGCTGACAAGTGACAAAACAGAGCAAGAATATAGCCATGCGAGAATGTAAATTTACGAGAATTCTCCAAATTAAGAAAACGGTGATGATTTGTTAGTGGCCGTATAATTTATTAAATTTTCAGTAGAAATGAAATTTGGTTTACCCGACGGGCCGTTAAGTTTGAATGAATTCTAAAAAAAATTTAAACTCCGAAATAAATTTTTATCTGCTTGATTTAGGACAAAGAATGAATAAAACCATTAACTTCGTCGCGACGTTTCGATACCTTTATTGTATCTTCCTCAGGCAAAGAATTTTCGTTGGCTGAACGTGGGAGGCATGACACAGTCACAGATTATCTGGTTCCATAAGATGGGACTCTCTTCCATTTATGAATGAAAATAAAATCCGCGTCGCCGTGACCTCGGTGGGTCGACTGTGATTGGCTAATCCAGAATATGGCGTATTTATGAATGATTTGAATTAGATTATTTGGTGAGATTGTTGTTACTATTGCACATATTGACACCACCCTTATATTCTTGGTTGCTGAGATATCGATGATCAAAGACAAAAGAATCTTTTTTCATTTAAAGATATCTCAGCGACAAATTAACGTAAAGAGAATATTCTCTTTCATATGAAAAAAGCATATTAAAGATGAATGAACAGGCTATCCGGCATATGCATTGACTTAACTTAAAAAAAATCCCACGTCCGTGGACCAATCCCACGTCCGTGGACCAATCCCACGTCCATGGACTAAAAGTAAAAACAAGAAAATTTAGAATTTTTTTCTTTTGCTATTACTTAGGATTACGTGATAACCGTAGCACAGAAATTTTTTTTGCCAAAAGGTTTCAAAACTAAAAACTTAAAGCTTTAACATACTTTTTTTAAAATCTCGATTCGATGAGTTACAACCTCTCAAAAATCACCAAAAAATTTAGAAAAATGTATTGTTCCTTTAATTTTTTGGATTAGTATAGTATACATAGTAGTATAGTATTATTTAAAGAACATATAATAATGGTAAAGGTGATTAAAAAACTCGTCCACAACTCATTTTAAACTTCACCTTCGTGAATAAAAGCCATTACGTGAGTAGAATATCACTACTATGAAATATTTTCGATTTTTTACTTAAAACTTTGTCAATACTTTGCAAGCCATACAGGAAAAAGTCGTAGAATATGACTTTATATTCCAGGGAGTGTAATAATATAAACTAAATTATGTGTCTATGTATACGCCATAAATAACATTATTATTTAGATAATAAATAATTTATCTACTATCAATAATTTTAAAATCAAATAAAACCGAATAATATGTTTTAAATAATTGCTCCAAGCAGAAAGCATTTTTCTGACATTACAGATTGAGTTTATGTTGCTACAGATTTTACTTTATCACTTTTGTGCGATAAAACTCAGCTTTACGGTACTCCTTTGGGTTTTGTAATGTTTAACAGTTCCTGCGAATAGCATTGTAGGTAAACTGTATCAGGAGTTTTATTAAACAAAATCAAACAATTTTATTAACATGAACATGACACATTTAAGCTTCTGTCAGCATTAATAAGTTTACTTTTGCTTTTACTATATTCACTATATTTCTTTATGCTAAAGTAAAATCAATTTTTTTTTGCAAATCTCATTATTTTTATTCATACTAGCTAATATTTCGTTAAAACTTGTTTTTAAATTTGCACGATTACTGGAAATACATAATAGAGCAGGTAGCAATATTTTTTTTTTTTTTTAATTAATTAAAGTGGATTTAAAATACATTCCAAACTAGTTAAATGTATAAAAATCAATGTGTGAGATAAGTTTTGGTAGATTTTATTCCCGAATTGAATAATTTGGTATACATAATTGGGATTTTACGATAGAGGAGAAGCTTTAAGCGCAAGCTCGCGTAGTATTAGATCAATACGAAAGCTTGTCACGTGTTAGGATCCCTCGCGTGAAAATTATGAGGGGACGGGCGGCATTACCTATTGATAGAGGGTTAAACAAGTATAGGGGATGCAATAGGCAACATTACGTTTGTAATCGAAAATCAATACTGCATCGGCTACATGTAGTTTAAGAACAAACTCGGCACTTTAAAAGTCGACTGGAAGTAATTCGGTTGCGAGAGTATAACCAATGGAAATAGGCGTCGCAGTCGTCGGATTCCGTTGAGTTGCCGGCGACCGATGTGCTTTTTGCGCTTTACAACAAAGAGACGCGTCGCACGGATAATTCGGGTGATGTTTTGTGTTTCTAATAGTGTAAGTTCCTGAGCGTCGATTGCTATCAACAGGTACAATACCTAGTGAGTTGATAGCATGTGTATGTCGATCAGTTCCCTTCAATTTATAACGTTGGATTAGTAGAATAGGATTGATTATAGTTTAGTAGATGGTTGCCTCGTTACTTAAGGCAAAAGGTCTCCTCTTATCTGCATAGTTATAGCAGTTGAGTTGTTGCTATGTAGAATGTCCATGATTGACTGGTCCGATTAACACCATGCCCCAAGGTTCTCCGTCACCAGCGGACGTGATCCGGCTGGAACCCATGGGAAGGTTCAAGCAAACTCAAAACGGCAATGTGCGACTACAAGGTGGGTTCAATTCAAGTCCAAAGCTCGACAACCGCCTCGCAGTCCAAATCTCGACACAGTCCCACAGCTTAATCCCGCTTAAAACGTGTTATAGATTAGTCGTAACTTTGTTAAAGGGCACCAAGTGATAAGTGCTAGTCTTTTTGGTCCAACTGGGCCTTGCACGTCTCACTAATCAATTAATATACACTTTATTTCAACTGCATGATTGATAAAAATGTAGTGGTTTTCAAATAAGTCATGTCGAAACCAGCACGTGGTTGCATGCGCGAATTGCGCCCTTTTGAGTCCGTTTTGCGAAAAGATCAAAACATTGCCGCCCTTTCGCGACGGCACATGCGTCTAACTCCAGTAAAAACGACGCAGGTTTTCGTGTTCCGGAGGGTCCGGTGCGGTGCTAAAGTACAGCTTCGTCTAACGCGTCTCATGTCCTTTTAATTAAAACCAAACAATATCACGTAAAGTACAACAATTATCATCAAAAACGCCGTCTAAAAGATTCAGCAATCCCACAAGACAAAAATCAAAAAACTGATGATATCAAAACTATACCTTCTGACCAAAACGAGGTGTTCAACAGTAAATATAATGTAGTTAATAATTGTCTTTCTTCCTCAAGTGCTTAGTTTTCGAGTCCAAATCTTAATCCATCCAAGTAAATCGTGTAATAGTTAAGAGTTACTGTGGAGGGTAGGAATCGAGAGTCCCTGGTTAAGGTTTCAGTAGTTACTGGAGACCACAGCATCGAGGCAGTTGTCTGGAGACGCGGAGAAACAGTGATGAGCGAACAGGATGTTGACGATGTTGCGTTTCTTACAGGTACAAATCATACCGCACAAATAAATCACTCCATCTGTCAATCATCACCACTCATTCATAATACCTGTGACACAGGCGGTGTTGCAGGAAATGAAAGTCCTGCTGGTGCCACTAAGAAAAGTTTATATGAAAATAATGGTGTCGCGGCTTGCTCTCATAATAGAGCACTTTGTATTGCAACTGTCGTCTTTGCTCTTCTCTTCACAATTGCTGTCATCATCGCTTTCACAGGCCCACAAAGTGGTAAGTCCAAAATGTTTTTAAGATTACTAAAAAAAGCAGATTGTACTTGTGCCGGTGAAAAACCTCCAAATTTCGTTGACGAGCGTTGGAACGTGACCAAGGCTTTCCCTCCAAGAGCTACAAATGGCCAGATTTTCCCCTGGAACAACATCCGTCTTCCTACTTTCGTAAGACCCACACGTTACAACATCACGATCCATCCAAATCTCACTACGCTCGAAGTCAAAGGTAAAAAACTCAAGTCACAATTAGTCTTAAAGTACAAAAAACAATCGATAGGTCAAGTTTCCATCGAATTCCATGTAGAAAAAGAAACACGTTTTATAGTACTACATAGTAAAAATTTAACAATCGGTGATAAGATGGTCCAAGATAAGAAAGGACATCATCTGAAAGTAGTTAAGATGTTGGAATACACAGGAGCTCAACAGCTCTATATCGAAATAAAAGATGCATTTCGAAAAAAACACAATTATACTATAAACTTTAGGTTTACTTCTAAATTAGGTAGAGAATTCGAAGGTTTTTATATTTCTAGTTATATCAACAATGATGGAGAAAAAAGGTAAGTTTGGTAATTTTCTGAATAATGAAAGTTATAAGCCTTTTATAGATATTTGGCTACAACACATTTCGAACCAACTTATGCTCGAGCTGCCTTCCCATGTTTTGATGAGCCAAATTTTAAAGCAAAATTCAAAATGTCTATTTTTAGAGATAGATTTCATATAGCTCTATTTAATACGCCTGTTATTAATACTGAAGACGTTGGGTTCTACATGGGAACCGGACTTGTAAGAACAAAAAAATCATTTTTCTTTCTCTCTTGAAAAAAATTCTAGCTCAGAGACGATTTCGAGGAATCGGTCAAAATGAGTACTTACTTGGTCGCCTTTATAATATGTGATTACACACACCTCAGTCGACAAACGCAAAGAGGTGTTTCAGTATCTATATATACACCTCCTCCTTACATTTCTCAAGCATCTTTCGCTCTAAACACCACAACTCACATTCTCAACTATTTTGAAGACTTCTTTGGAGTTCCATATCCTTTACCAAAACAAGGTAACAATTAAGTGTGGAAACTTCAGATTTTGATCTGTCTTTTGCAGATTTAGCTGCGATTCCCGATTTTGCCACGGGTGCAATGGAAAATTGGGGATTGATTACTTACAGAGAAACTGCCATTTTATATGACCCAATAGAAACTTCCACAGTGGCACATCAGTACGTGGCTATTGTGATTGCCCACGAACTTGCCCATCAATGGTTTGGAAATCTCGTCACAATGAAATGGTGGAACGACCTCTGGCTAAATGAGGGATTTGCAAGTTATTTGGAATATTTAGGAGTTGATAATCTATTCCCAGAATGGAAGATGATGGAACAGTTTATTTTAGATAAAACTCAACCTGCTCTTGCCTTAGATGCTCTATCTAGCAGTCACCCCATTTCAGTAGCTGTACATGACCCCGCGGAAATCGAAGCTATTTTTGATACCATCTCTTATAGCAAAGTAAATAACAATAACATATACTTGTAAGTAATATAATGTGGTTTCTAGGGTGCCGCAATTTTATACATGTTAAGCAAATTTCTTCAACAAGAAACTTTACAAAATGGCCTTAATGATTATCTAAGTACTTATAAATATAGTAACGCCGATACCAAAGATCTTTGGAATGTCTTCAGCAGAAATTCGAATCAATCATTAGAAGTTATGGTAAGTCCTGTGTTGAATTCATTGACAGATTTTCACGCAAATATTTAGACAATTATGGATACATGGACACAACAAATGGGTTTTCCGTTAATTACAATTAGTAGAGAAGATAATGAAGTACTTGTGAGCCAAGAACGGTTTTTATTGACCGTAGAGAGTGCAAATAGTTCGATTAGAAACTCCCCAAAGTCAAAATTTGATTACAAATGGTACGTTCCTTTCACATATATCACAAATAATGACACACAAACGGTCTATAACGTATGGATGAACATGACAGACGGTAAGTATCTATTGTTTTAAGACAAAAGCGTATTCAAAGGAGGAGTTTCAGTTCGGTTTGAACTGGATCCAGATATAACTTGGATAAAAGCAAATGTAAACCAGTCGGGATTTTACCGCGTCATGTATGATGAAGCAATGTGGAGATCGTTGGTTAACGTTTTGCGTACCAACCATACAGTATTTAATCCAGCTGACAGGGCAAATTTGATTGATGACGCATTTACCTTGTGCCGGTAAAATCATTATGTTTAACCCATTAGCATGATCCTATTGTAATGTAATTATAGGGCTGGTTTGCTAAATGCTAGTATCCCACTCGAATTATCTTTGTATTTGTCAAAAGAACGGGATTACGTACCATGGGCTACCGCAATCGAACATTTCCAATCCTGGAGTCGCCGATTATCCGAATCTTTAGCATACAAATTATTTTTGAAATATATGAGACAATTACTGACTCCGGTTGCTAAATATATCGGCTGGGGGAACAAAGGCTCACATCTCGAAAAGTAAGTGTTAAAATTTTACTTTTTCGCAATTTTAACAAAATTGTTAGATTGATGCGTACTCAAATCCTATCAACGGCCATTTTATGCGAACTAAACGAAACTGTGACACGCGCTAAACAGGAGTTTCAAAGATGGATGCACCAAAACGTGTCCATAACTCCAGATTTAAAGGAAGTGGTTTATTCGGCCGGTATAAAATATGGCGGTATGGCCGAATGGCAACACTGCTGGAATCTCTACAACTCGACAACAATTCCCAGCGAGAGAAAACTCCTCCTGAAGGCATTAGGTGTTGCTTCCGATCCTTGGCTCCTTCAAAGATATCTCTTGGAGACTTTGGACCGTAACACAGTAAAGCCTCAAGATGTCAAAATTGTTCTTGCCGTAGTCGCTGCAAATCCAGAAGGGAGATTATTAGCCTGGAGACATTTGAAAGCGTATTGGCCTACGATGCATTCCTTATTTGGAAATGCTACCTTCATGATGGGTGGTCTCATATCAGCTGTAACTGCTCATTTATCTACGCCGTATGATTATTACGAGGTAAGCCCCTGATTAGGGATTAAGTCGAGATTAGATGGGTTGTTTTAAGGTTTCTACTTATTTCAACGGAATGAATGTGGGTTCGGCAACGAGAGCCTTGGAGCAAAGTCTCGAAACTATTAAGCTCAATATAAACTGGGTGTCGCAGAATGAAGCAGATATATACACGTGGTTGCGTAATTACGTTAAGTAGAGGCTTGTAGGGATTTAATTGTGATGTATTCATTATTTCGATATTATCGTCTTAGGTGATCTATTTTTATGTATATTTTTTATATGTATATATTAAGCGTGCTATTTTCTGTAAAAATGTTTTGTCAATGTTGATATTAATGTGAATTGAGATATTATTTTTATATATTAGATACCTCTAAAATATCGTCTTCTACATATGATTGACTATCATTTTATTCTCAGTGTAGAGTCCTCCACAACTCAATCTAGACTATGTATTAATTTTTTATAACAGCTGTATTTTTATTATACATTCAACACCACAACTGTATGAATGTTTCAAATAAAATGTTTTACCATCCTTTCGTGCTTTGTTTTTTTATAAAGGAGGAGGTTTAAAATAAGTGACATTAGAATGGCAGTTAATATGCTTTTATTTATATCTCGGAATTTTTTTAACATGAAGTCATGCATTACTTCCTGTTTTCGATTAAATTTGGCCAATAAACTCGAGTCGGCGCTTTCAGTCCTACCACAAGCTTACTGGATGTAAATAGAGATGGCGTATCAATTCATTCGCAATAGAACAAAGAAATTAGTATTCATAAGATTTCAAACGAAGTTATGGTTTTAATTAGTAAAATAAATATTAGATTAAAAAATTTCAAAAAACCCTCCATTCTTGTTTGGAAATTAAAGCGTTACATCTCAGCTTTCGCCAGTTTAAAATATTTAATGGCTGTTTTATGGTGTTATTTCTGTATTAAAAATGCTGGTTTTATGATCGTTCAGTTTTCTTTTTACATTCAAATAAAACTGTAACACGTTATTTTTTTTATTAAATTTGCAAGCAACCCTTAAAAATAACGAATTAAGAAATCAAATCTCGAGCAAAAAAGAACTTAAAAATTAATTACAAAGTTTTATTTCTTTTTAAACTTATAATTAATACGTTAGGAATCTTCGACGAGAACATTTTCAAGCGACACAATCAAAATTTTAAATGGGTAAAAAGGTGAAAATTAACTTAATGACTTCCTAATTATATCAAGAAAGAAATTATAAAAGAAGTAGGTAACGACAATAACTTTACAATTTTAATTAGATTACGCATTGTAACTAGATAAAAAATCCGAGATTATAGAAGCTGCACACAATTAATTAAAATTCTGTTTTAATGAGGGTGGATAGAATTAAAAAAAGGTTATTACGTGTCGTTTTTCTTACAAGCTGTAAGAAAAGAATAATTAACTAAGTTTGTTGTTGTTTTTTAGGGTGTTAGATAAAGCGTTTTCGTTCGAAGTTTTCTCTTTTAAAATATTAAATTTTGCGTGGTTTACGTTTCACGTAACTAATGGAGAAATGCGATACTCTTGGTATAATGGAATGTTAAGTTTTTGCTGTGGCATACTGAACAATAATATGTATAATCCACAAGATACAGGAGAAACCCAAAAGTTGGGAAGTGGTGTTTTTGTGCGGTGTAAGGAAGTTGTATCATTTGTTTATCTCGAGTTTACAATACACACAGTTCTTGGTAGAACGGATATAGTTAATGAATGCGTATTAATCTTATTAATAACGTCAATAAATTACGTTTTATTTTGAGTAAGATAACAAGCAGAGGAGATGGATAAATATGTATATCTGGATCCGTTACTTAAACATAATTTTGTTATCTGCATGTCAACAGACGAGCAAGGGAAAGATGATGGAGTAATTTATGAATAAGCCACGGCGTTGCCGAATAAGGGAGTTAAAGTAATATCCAAGCTCATCGCAATGACCACATTGTCCATTAGCAGCACGTTCGAGTGATTACATTAACAGGTGTAATATTCATCTTGCCAGCGACACCTAATCGATACCAGTAATTGATTACATTATAAAGAGTTACTCCAACAAAATTTTACAAAGCTTCACACTTCCCCTAATGAAATACTCCTCCACGCAATTCTCCAACGTGACACTGATACATTTATTCACTTATCCATTCTCCAATAACACCTAAAAACATAATAGCAAAAACTGTTGATATATTCACTACTAAATACAAAGTATCACCAAAAATTCACATCATCCATTATGCCAGTAATGAATTCATAACGTCGAAATTAAAAGTTAACAAACCCAAAGTTGATCTAACAAAAAGTGTCACTCATGTGTGAGTGTTCTAATATGTAAAAAATAAACCATTACCGCAACTCTTCGAGTATTAAATTAAACAGAAAATCGATTCTTCGATTGCTCCGCTATCAAATTATTTAATTAATCATCAAAGTTGGATGGTCAGACACGTTTGTTCCTTAATGTTTATAAATGATTAATTTTACTCGAAGAAAGGTAAACAGTAGAAATGACTTAATCATCATCAAAATTGTTGTTTTGACGTCGGTCAATCAAAACCAATAAGCATAGATTCATTTCCATTAAGGTGATTAATTAGAAACTGGCGAACATTCATAATTGTAAAATCAAAATCCATTAGAATATAACAAGCTCTGAATAATAAAAAACTATGCGCAGTTATATCAAACATAATTTACAATTTGATTTAATTAGCATAAAATACTATTTTCGTTCAAATTATATTTTTATTTGCTACATACGATTAATTTGAAATATTAACTATTAACAGAGCAAATAATTGTTACATATATTTGAGTAATAAAAAATACTGTTTAGCAAATCTTTAATATTATTAAATATTGTTTCACTCATTGGTTTAATCCTGGGTCATTGTGAGATTTTGAATGTGACGTTGCATTCCCAAATCGATAAAAAAGATACATTTGTGTCATCCATTAACTGACTGTCTAGCGTGAAATATAAAAATGTTACGACTAGTATTATATAGAGTTGCTGTGAAAAAGGGGGGCGATAAGATTTAATTGAAACTCCGCCTCCCCTAAACGTTAGCTCTCGCGATAGCGACCCCTATTTCTGCAACTTAGGTGAATCATTCCGAGTAGTTTTTGAAATAATTTTCACATTTAATCTTGGCGTTGTTTTATTGCTATAATTCTGGAAATATAGCACATTCAACTAAATTTATCATATTATTGACAAAATATACTATACCTATCGGTTATAATTATTGAATAAATAAAAACGAATAAAATGAAAGGTTGATTGTCGGACTAAATTTGCAGATTTAAAAGTGTCACAACACACTAACACATTTCCTTAAAAATTTGTAAAATAAATCACATTCATTCAATAGAAGGCTCAGTGATGTGAAAAAATTCTTTCAAGCTTTTACTATAACATTTTACACCGACATTTGTCGTATTATTTCCCATTTCAGTATCTAAGTCAATGAACGCTCAAAAAGAGGTTGTAAAATACATGGTCAGGAGCAAATTTGACTTCAGGGCTCTGTTTAAACTTTTCAGTTTTTTGTATCTTAAATAGTTATCAAGATATCCGCTAGCAAATATTGCACTCTTAAAAAAACAAGGTTTTGTCTCACTGTGCATCATGTGTAAATCCCAAGTTTACCGTAAAAATGATTGTGACAAAATGTTGCTTGTAGATTGAAAACTCTGCTGACTTTTGCAACTTATACCTACCTCTTTGCACCGAACATCGAGATTTGAAGAAAATTTTCACTTCCGCATCACAATAGTCACAAATCTGAATTACTAATTTCGCTTCAATTTTGAATTAAACTAAAATAAAAAGTTGTTCATGATTACTCGCATTATAATAACGGTAGACCTCAAACGGACCACGCACAACCTTGCTTTTAATTTTTGAATGAATTCAAAAATCTGAAGTGATTGATTTTGTACGATATTTGCTAACGAATATCAAAAAAACTATTTGAGATATAAGAAAAAAACGATATCACCTTGTACAAAATTTTATAAGCTTTAATTTATACAAAACTACTTTTTTCGTAACATGTAGCGTATTGTGAAGAATTGTAAAACCACATCTTCTTAAAGCTCCCCTGAACCCCGCTCAGTTTACCACCTATAACTAACCCAAATGCAATCCTAAAGTCAAAAATTCTGATTCTGACTAATTCATGTCTTCAAAAGTAGTTTTCAATTTGGTAAACTAGATTAGAACATCGGTTTTTAGTTACGAGACCATAATACGGCTGTAAACTCACAACCTTTAAATTTGTTTATTTAACAGATTTAGATTAAAGATGACACAACGAAAAGCAGATTTTGGTAAAATTTAAATCCTTAAAATTTTGAGATCAAAAGTAGGTATAGAAAATCGACTCGCAGTTGGAAGACTGTCATAATACATATATTTAAGATAATGGATTGTCATTAATTCATTACCGGAATACCAAATGTATCAAAGCTATATAGGTGATGATAGGTTTGAGCCGAGTCAACATTTCAAATTTGTACAGACAAATCCGTATTCATCTGGCGTAAGCCGTGCCGTGTTATATCATTTTGATTGTATACAGGTCGTGAAGCATTCTTTGTTATTACCTTTGTGGTTTGTAATTTGTTGTAAGTAGATTACAAAAGGTATCTTTATAGGAAGCAACGACCGAAGAAAACGCTACAGATTTATCAATAAGCCGAGTTATTTTGATGGAATGAAAATCGTGCTTTTCCACTTTAAAGTACCATCGAAAGCGAAATAAAATTCCGTGCATTCGAAAAAATAAAACTTGATTGCGGCATGTGGATGATCTTTTTAATTGTCGTCTAGTGGTCCCCTTAGTCTCGTTGAGTTTCCCCGTTGGCAGAATTCAATTATCTTCATTCATTTCTGAAATATCAGACGAGGGCATGAGATTATAGCGGATAAGAGTTCACTAAACACGGCCATAAATAAGTCGGTTGAAAAAGAAACAAAACTCACCCTGTATAGTTATGAAATATGGTTAGAGCCAAATCCTGAATTTAAAAAAGCAGTTTAATCTCAGGGATAATTAACAAAGTGAATGTTTGTGTATCATACATTATTAAGATTGGTGGTTTAACTTCAATCCAGAATTTTTCCTCTTAAATACTTAAATAGATTTAATTGTCTTGTTTGATATCCATGGATGACGACATCACAAACGTCGATCTGTAGTCAGCCACAGGCGTTTGAGGATGAAGTCTTCCCTCTTTGTCGACCCCGAGTGAAATCTTCTGATGGTTGGTGTGTTTCTGTTTGTCAATTGTAGTGCTTTATGAGATGAAGTTTTTAATAAAAAGTTACTACCCTTCAATTTAGCGAGGGATTTAAAGGGCAACATCCCCTTCTTTACGTCCAATGTCTTGAACGGTTCAATTAATTCGAATGGGGAATGCGCTATTACAACAGTTGGAGTGATTATACTCGATATTGTAATATCATGTACGAGGTGTGGTCACAAATTTATCCCAATTACCCGAT